GCGGCCGCCCGAGCCTGGCAAGGCCAAAGCGGCGGCGGCGAGCGCGGCGGGCAGGAAGGCGAAGGCGATCCGTAAACTGACCTTCGAGGACGAGGTGACCACGTCGCCCGTGCTGGGGCTGAAGATCAAGGAGGGCCCCGTGGAGGCGCCCGCCAAGGCGCGCGGCGGCTGCCGCCCGCTGGGCGAGTTCATCTGCCAGCTCTGCAAGGAGGAGTACGGCGACCCGTTCGCGCTGGCGCAGCACAAGTGCTCGCGCATCGTGCGCGTGGAGTACCGCTGCCCCGAGTGCGACAAGGTGTTCTCGTGCCCCGCCAACCTGGCCTCGCACCGCCGCTGGCACAAACCGCGCCCGCCGCCGCCCGCCAAGGCGCCCGCGGAGCCGCCGCGCGCCGCCGGCAGCGGCAGCGGCAGCGAGCGGGACACGCCGAGCCCCGGCGCCGAGGAGGGGCCCTTCGGCTGCCCGCGCTGCGCCAAGCGCTTCCGCCGCCAGGCCTATCTGCGCAAGCACCTGCAGGGCCACCCGCCCGCCGCGCCGGCGACCGCGGCCGCGCGYCTCTGCCCCGTGTGCGGCGAGGCCTTCCCGAGCCGCAGCGGGCAGGAGCGGCACCTGCGGCTGCTGCACGCGGCGCAGCTCTTCCCCTGCAAGCACTGCCCCGCCACCTTCTACAGCTCGCCCGGCCTCACGCGCCACATCAACAAGTGCCACCCGTCCGAGAACCGCCAGGTCGTCCTGCTGCAGCTGCCGCTGCGCCCCGCCTGCTGAGCGCCCCGTTATCGCCCCGAGCTACCGGAGCGCCGACGAGCCCGACTCGGCCCCGCCGCAGCCGCCGATGCCTTGGACCCTTTTTTTTTTTTTTTTTTTTTCTCCGCCGCTCCGAGCTCTCGGGAGGAGGAAAAAAAATGTTTTTCTCTTGATTTTTTTTTTCTCCCCTTTTCTTTTTATCTTTTAAAAGGGGGAAAAAATGCTGTAGAAACTGCCTTAACTGTGACACGCCGCCCGCCCCTTGTCCCGTCCTGCCCGTTATATTTTATATTATTATTTCTCTCCCCTTCCCTCCGTGCCCCCAGGTAGCTCCACTGGTTTGACTTTTTGATCTGTATATGTTGGTGGGTTTCTTTGAGTAATTATGTTTATTTATTGGTTATTTATTTATATTGATTACGGAGATTCGGTTAATTATTTGGCCGCGGGTTGTTTCCATGTGCTTTTTTTTTCTTTTTTTTTTTTTTTTTCTTTTTGTCTCTCGCTCCCC